GAAGAAGGTAGGGCTCAGCTGTGGCCCCTCTGCCCTTGGAGGGCCGGGATGTGTTCCCGTGCCCCGGCTGGGTGCCGGGAACTACCAGCCGGGCACTGTCACGCAGCAACCTGGCTCCCACGCACCCAACCACAGCCCAGCTCCAACGGCCCAGCGGGTCCGACCAGTCCTGCTGCCACCCGGGCCAGCACTCACCGGGCTTTGCACCTCTGCTTGTGCAAACACCCGGGCAGTGGGGTCACCCAGCACCCATGGTGTGTGGGAACACACAACAGGGGGACCCAGCCCCTTCCCACCACCCTAACCGGCTTCCCCCGGCTGTCCCCTAGCTGAAGCAGATGGGGGTGCAGCTGGAGGAGGAGTACGAGGAGAAGCAGAAGGTTCTCAGAGAGAAACGTGAGCTGGAGAGCAAGTTATCAGCTGTCAGTGAGCAGGTAGGGTGCAGGGCAGCCTGGCACATGACTCTCCTCAGGGACCCTGAGGTGGCTGTGGTGGGGTGAACACTCCTCCAGCACGGAGCCCTGGCACAGTACCCCCTGTCACAGGCCAACCAGCGAGACTTTGAGACGGAGAAGCGCCTACGCCGGGACCTGAAGAGGACAAAGGCGCTTCTGGCTGATGCTCAGATCATGCTGGACCACCTGAAGAACAATGCACCCAGCAAGAGGGAGATTGCCCAGCTCAAGAACCAGGTGTGCTTTCAGATCCCCCCAAACCGCAGTCCCTGAGGGACACGGGATGTCCCTGTCCCCTGGCCGAGTGCTGAGTTATGTCCCTGCAGCTGGAGGAGTCAGAGTTCACCTGTGCAGCTGCTGTCAAGGCCCGCAAGTCCATGGAGGTGGAGATTGAGGACCTCCACCTGCAGATCGATGACCTCTCCAAGGCCAAGGCAGCTGTGAGTGGTTTTTGGGTGTTATTTACTGTGGTGGGGCCATGCCCCACCTGCATCCAGGGTGACAGCAGGGTGACCCCACACTGGGTTGGGTTTGGGGGTGAGTTTGCCACTCTTGGGGTGCAGTGGGAGACGCATGTGTCTCCCTGCAGCTGGAGGAGCAGCTGAGCCGGCTGCAGCGGGAAAAGAATGAGGTGCAGAGTCGTCTGGAGGAGGACCAGGAGGACATGAATGAGCTGATGAAGAAGCACAAGGCGACTGTGGCCCAGGTGAGGGGTGATCAGCAGCTGTGGCCCCCCATCCATCCCCCCAAAAAGGCTTTTCCCGGAGCCAGTGCAGTGGGGTCCCTGCTGATGGCCCTGGTGTGTCCTGCAGGCATCCCGGGATCTGGCACAGATGAATGACCTCCAGACGCAGCTGGAGGAGGTCAACAAGGAGAAACAGGAGCTGCAGGAGAAGGTGGGGAGCATCAGCATCAGAAAGGGGATGGGATGTACCCCAAGTGGAGCTGGGGGAATGGGGGATAGCCAGAGACCCACTGCCCACACTGTGGGGGGCCCTGCACCATGAGGGTGCAGAGCAGTCCCGTGGGAAGCTCTCCATTCAGGTGGGTGCAGCATGGCCAGCAGTTCTGCTCCAGTATGGTGTGGCAGGGTGGCAAGGAGGTTGTGGTCACGGCTGAGGCTGTGCCCCTCCCGCAGCTTCAAGGCTTGCAGAGCCAGCTGGAATTCCTGGAGCAATCCATGGTGGACAAGTCGCTGGTGAGCCGGCAAGAGGCCAAGATCCGCGAGCTGGAGACCAGGCTGGAGTTCGAGCGGACACAAGTCAAGCGCCTGGAGGTGAGCACTGGGTTCTCTGCTCTGCCTGGAGCCAGGATGACACGAGACCACGATGGGAAGCTGCTCCAGGGATCTGCTGAGCACGTCCCTCCCCGGGACCCCCCACGCTGCAGCCCTCCCGCTCCGGCAGCCCATCCCTGTCTCCGCAGGGAAGGCTCCCTGCAAGCACCGATAACAGTAATCCAGCGCCCAGCCCGGCAAAGTGC